TGTTAAGTGTGATCGCGGTGCAGAATATCTCTTATTTACAAAAGTACATATCTCATTTTTTACAACATCATTTGCACCTTTTCTCAATGTTGGCTTGTAAATCACGTTGACTCAGTAAATGTTTGAAAAAATATATGTAAGTATGATTCTAAGAAGAGGAATAATAACTTTGAATCTCTCTCTCTCTCTCTCTCTCTCTCTCTCTCTCTCTATTTTTCCCCCATTTTTTTTCTCTTGAATATTGATTTATTGATGTGCATCTACTACGCGTAAAACGGATACCATAACAATAATTAAAGTGGAGATAAATGACTGTTTACTAAAATAAGTTTATATTATTCCTTCAAATCGTTATGGTAAATATTATACACATATAATACACGTGACAAATATTATACACAATAATATACACGTTCGTCATTTTTTTTGTAAGTTTCTTAAATAACATTTGCTCATTAAGTTTTTTCGAAGCGCTGCCGAAAATAATGGCATTAAATCTCTTCTTTTACGCTTCTTATGATCTAAAAACACATACTCGTAGAAAACATAACAGGATCTAATTAAAAATAAATTACGAACGACATAAGAAACCATTTCTTCATTTATCCTGAAAACATTGAAAAGAAATATTTTTCTTGGATTGCATGAGCAAATATGTGCAGGCTCGCACTTACTGAAATCTAGTATGAATGATGTCCTTGTATAATTTTCCACTGTTGCTATATTATAACTCAGCGAACCTGTAATTATGCAAGTTGCAAAAGCTTAATTGACGTACCTCTCTTTTCACGATTATTTTCTTAAATTATAATTTTATGCTGCTAACGTCTGTAGAAATTCAATAATTCTCTGCAACTCACAGAGAATTAAGATGCCATCTATTTTTATACTTGATTTCTCATAACACGCGAATGCTCAGAATCTTAAAAAGAAAAGAGAACGTAGAATGTATTGCTATTTGTAGTCAATTACAATCTTATCGGATTGCGTATTATTTTTTTCAGCCGCGTACTTGACTGAATAACCTATTTCATCACGATGAAGTAGATCGAAGGATTTGATTCGCGAAGGACACGCGTTATATACGGCGGCGTGTTTGAGTTATTCTCACGTGCATCGTAACCGATTGCACACAAGCTCGGTACTCGGTGGCTCCTTTATGACGCACGACGCAGCTCGAGAGACTTTCACCGCTCTCGTGTACTTTCACCATTGAGAGCATTACCACCGCCTCTGTTTCACTTGTTCTCAGACGAGACGCGCGATTAGACCCGTCCTTATTTCGGAAAAATGAAAATCTCTTCGCTACGCCGTCGAATTTTTATCATTGTTGTCCGTGAATTACATTGCGACGTTCCTGCCCGACTCTATTCGCTTTTTGGCGCGGCGGGAACGTCTTTTTCGGTACGGTGAGAGAAGACTGGTCGGTACGAGCGGTCAGCTCGTCGTAACGGCGGTCGTGGCCCTTGATTGGCTCGTCGGATTGCCAGGTTCGTTTTAATAAATGTGAGAGAGTTCTTGTCGAAATAATAAACAAAGATTTATTTCCGGTTCTCGATTAGATTACAGCAGACTAATATACGAGCGGATGTCAGCTCGGTGCTTTAAACTATCTTTCTCGTTAGACAATAGATGCGTCGAAACGTGTTGTTGATATTTCGACGATCGCGTGTGTGCTTTGTCGGCTTAGCTGATTTTCGAAATTCGCGGTAGACGGGTTCGCGGGACGGCGGACGCGGTTGTTATACGCGGGCGATGTATACACGTCTGACGTAAACGTGTAACGATCGGTATAGTCGCGGGAGCGGTGTTTTGGGCGCACGGTTTGTTATCGCTGTTTGACTGCGCTGCACTGCTGTTGTTTCTCCGCGAGAATGTCAATTTAAATGCACCGGAGAGTGCAATACGGAAACCACGCGCAGGTGGTACGGAAAACGGAGGCACTCTCCGAGCCTCGGGAGCCCCGCGGAGTCGGGAACAGGCGGCACGGCAGCCAGAAGGCACCCCGCGGTATCCCGGGATACGCTCTAATGTCGGCGTGTAATCTCCGCGGAGGCCACTACACCAGGAGATCGCGAGAGAAACGTACGCAACGGTGCTGCTACAGGAGCAAAACTCCGACAGGGTCTCGGAGACTCTTTCTCGCGAAGAGAGACGGGGCCGAGAAGGCTCGGCGGAGACGGCGAACGACGCCACCTCTTTACCCGTTAATTCTCTTCGTCGAGATTTGCTCCCGCGTATGCTTAGTCTAACTAGGTTTCGCTCGCTCGCGTGCAACCCGGCGCGGTGAACGCGAGGGACCCGGTGTCCCTTTCGGTCGGCGGTGACTTGGCCGAGAATACTCGACTGAGACGGCGCAGTCGCCACCCCGGACTTGTCTGGCCGGTCGGAGGTCGGGTGTGAACTCCCGGTGGAGACGGCGAATACACCGTCTCGGTTCCTCGGCACGGAGGATCGGGATCCGGAGCAGCCTGCGAACGTACCGCTCTGGCTGACTCCGGCGGAATCGGCCTCGGTGCCTCCGCCGGTTGGATTTTATATCCGATGGCGGGCCGGTGTTTATATTTGTTGACACGCACGTGATCTTGCTTGTGGCGGAAGCGCGTCACGTGCGTGTCGTGTGAATTAGTGTGGCGCAAAGCGTCGGTGAGCGATCCGACGAATGTTCGGTCGGGTCACGGGGAGGCAACGGTACAAACGCGCCGTTACAACATATCAACAAATCCCAATGAGCTTCTGGACTCGTCCGACGAGGTTCCAGAATTAGATGATTTCATCTTATTTTTTTCGTTAATTATTCATTACGTATCTCTTCCTCATTAACTTCTCTCCGAGTATCTTGTTTTAGAGGGAACGACAAACGAATAAAAATTATACTTTGATACGAAGACATCTCTATTCGAAAATTTCTCAGTCTTGTATGTTGATATAAGCTCCTCGTAAGATATTATAATTGATATGTACATAAAACAGAATTTGTAATTCATGTTAACTTTGAATTATCAAATATTAATATCTGTTTTCCATATTCCTTGGTTTTTTACGATAGTGTACCGGTTGTGATCAATTTCTGAGAGATATTGTTTTTTATTATCGATGGGTGCGTCTATCATCTCGACGCTTGATATTTCACTTTGTCGGTATCCTCGAGTTGCTAACCACATTTTCATCTACCAAGAGTCCTACAATATCGATAGTAGTGCCGACATCGACCTACAGATGGTCGGAGAGGGAAAACCGAATATAACATGAGTATTTCCGTCTGTCTCGCCAAGTTGACCGAGATATTTTCACGTTACACTCGACTTAATTAATTGTTCATCCGAATTCATCCGCGAGAGAGAGAGAGAGAGATAAAAAAGGAGAGGGAGAGGAGAGAGAGGGAAAAAGAGCACTAAACTCTATTTCTCGGCAGCGAATCATTAATTTATTTTTTAAATAAGGACGTGGTAGAAGTCGTACAAACATTCGTATCGATTTTCTTCATAATATCTTCGACTCCTCTTTAATTCATCAACCGATGATCGTCTCGATGTTCTCGATCGCACTATAATTATTTAACATAACGGCATCAAGACATCGGATTCTCACGCATATAATCATCGTTCGCCGCATACCGGTCGGCCTGAGTAGCATGTCTTGTTTTTAAAGTGCGGTGAAGTTTAACAAGTTATTGAGATTTAGGTCGGGTTGTTAGATCGATGCGCGATGCCGATTTTACGACACTTTACGATCATCTCCTGTTATTAAGCAAATGTTACATATTCCGGTTAACCGCAATATTAACCGGGATATCATCGATAATTATCGAGATACCGGATTTGCTTTATTGGGGCACCTATACGAAAAAAATAATTCCGTTGGTACAACTGAATTTTTCGTTACTTGGGTGTCAGACGAATACTTGATTGTAGAACCAGAGAAATTCCCGCAAGAGGTTTCTACCCAGTCAATTGTTCTTAGTTGTCTCAACTGAGTTTTAATGCAGCAAGCATGGGAGCGACTCACTTTTTTTCATTTTTCCTTATTTATTTAACAATTCATTTTTCTCACTTTTAAGAAAAAAGAAATTCATTTTTCTCACTTTTTTTTACACGATTTAAAATTTTTCAACAAAAACTTGGTATAATGATAAAATATCATGTTCAATAACTCTACTTTTTTTAAAAACAAAACTAAAGATCCAAAGAAAATAGGAAGTAACAATGACTTCGATGACACAATGATCATAAAATGAAGAACTATGATTTTATTTTTAATGTTTTTATTAGGATTATCAGAAAAACAGACAATAACGTGACTGTGTTTTCTTTAAATTAAGTAATGGAACCGATTGTCTACAATTTGTTTACGTTTGTCCATCCATAGTTCATTGTTTGTCCACCTCAAGCCAGAACGAGTTCTTAACAAACAAAACCAAGAAAACGGACAATAATTGACATGAACAATCCGATTGTATTTTCTTTAAATTGGATTATTGAATATATTATCGTATATTTTTTTAATATATATTACTCCTCTGGGAAGTTGACTAATATGTTTTCAGCGGAAAAATCCGTGATTGTTTTTATTTTTTTTAACATTTGTTTTTGTTTGACGAAAACATCTTAAATATCTCAACATTATGGAACATTATAGACTAACAATGTCTAACATCACCACATACACGTTGTATATATTTTTTTAATTATTATTATTTCTCCGTAAAAAAAGATCACAGAAGAATTTTGAAATAATAGAACAGAATAGTAGGATAATAGACAATTTTTTTTAATTTCATATTACATATTTCTATGTTTCATTTAAATTAATATATCTCATTTAACATGTACTTTGTTTAATTAACTTAAATAGGAAAGTGTTTATAAAATAGAAATACATTTTTTTAAGTATAAGGTTGCCATTATAAATAATGAAACTGTTTTTATAGTACAAGTCATACAATTTAATTTTCATAAAATAGTAATAAATACACTTATCGTAGATATATTGCACGTACGTAAAAATCCTTATTGTTAACTAACAGAACTTTTTCATTTTATCAATCGAAATTAATTAAATATAGAATTCAATTAATTGATGATAAGATTTACCTCCGAGAACTTAAAAAAATACACTAAAGAGAACAATAATTTTATAGTAATTCTATATAAAGAATAAATATTACGCTTCTGATCTTATTATTATTGCCAACACGACAAATAATTTTATTCAATCGTCTTGTCATGAAACGTGAGGCAAGTTTTTGAAACATTGTTTCATTTCAGAGGCATGACGAAATATTGTTTAATGGCTTTAATTGGTATTTATCTCATGATATAAATTTCTACAAATGCCACTTGGATTTTTTCACAATAATTTAGAGAACAGCGCGACACATGTGTTTTGATATTAATCTTATTCATATTTATATTCAGACACATGCGCATAAATGTATAAATTACGATGTAGTTATTAATATTTTTAGAAGTATACAGTACATAATTTGCACTTGAGATTATCAAAAACGATTAAAAAAAGCAATATTTATTAGTTAAAAATTTATTAGTTAAAAATGAAATGATATTCGTTAGTTAAAAATGAAACGATTTATTAAAGTTTTATCAGAGGTTATTTGTTATTTTTTTTTTACTTGTTAAGTCGTGGCCAGAAGTAGCTATCACAGATACTGATTGCACGCTGAAAATTTGTTCGACATACAATGTAATAACGAGTACAAAGGAGATTTAATAACTCGGTCGTACAATCGACAATTTTAGAACGTTCTTTACGGAAAAGAGATAATCCGCGGAAGAATCGATGCGCTTCAACGCCCTAATGGAGAAGAGTGACCTATTATTACTTCGGCAGCCTTGTTACAGCAATTTATTTGAGCCGTTGACGCTTAATTATCTTTAATTATTTATCTACTTTTATTCCCGGATAAGCCAGGATACGCATATGTACGCGTAATACTCCAATTCGGTTAACGCAAAAAACGATAGAATCATCCGCAAAAGTGCAAGACACTATGTCGAAGTACTGTTCGACACTCAGATTTTCTAAAATTCCGCACGGATATGTTAGCGTTTAGCGCGTTCTTCTTCTTCCCTTTCTCCGGCGTTTCTTTGGATATCTTTCGGATGTGCTTACATCTTGACTTTGAATTCTTACTCGATCGTGTCACGAATGTAACGAATGCTACAACGCAACAGAACGATCTGTTCGATAATTCACTATCGAATAAATGAACTCGATGAATAAATGAATAATATGATTGAAGTCCCCTTGAACATCGGTTTGTCATTCGTCGAAGCCTCGGTTGTCGATAAACACGCGATTTCTTAGCCCGCTATCCGAGATATAACCTGTGGCCATTTTATATTGATTTGCATATATAATATCGTTGACATTGGTTTTTTCTGTAAAGTCATTTAAAATGCTTTGCGGCTGCTGTCTTTGACGTTTTTTATCTTCAATGTTCTTCTCTTTCCGCATGTTTATTGCGATATTCGATTTCTTTTTTTTGTAAGCTTCCACGTAAAAGTCGCGGAAGAGGAAGTAAAACATCACGGCGTGCATTCCGATCCACCAGACGAAGGCCATGGGATAATTACAATCGATGAAAAAGAGCTGGAAGGCGTGGATCATTACAAAAACGAACTGAACCATCTGCAAAGCCGTCAGGTATTTCTTCCACCAGAGGAACGGCTGTATTCGTGGTCCCAGTGCCGCCAGAAGATAATACGAATACATTATGATATGTACAAAGGTGTTGAGGAAACCGAAGAAGGTGCTGTGGCCGCCTGCGAGCAAAAATCGTTGATCTTATGGAAGGCTACGCAACATCAAATTTCATTCACAACTTTGCGCGCAATATTCATTAGGAAAAGCATAAAAATCGACATGTTATTTTATTTTTGGGCCATAACATCATATTGAAGGTGTGTATGGACGTGAAGCAGCAACATTTCTCTACCAAAATACGTTGTAGTTTTTTGAAAATTATTGTCTTGTAAGAGACTGTTTTTTAAGAAGTTAGAAAAATGACGTTTTGAGAAAGTAAATCTTAAAACATATCCATGATATCTACCAGAAAGTTGTCAAAAAATAAAAGTTGTGAAATAAAAGCATTGAAAAATTAGATTATTTTGTACATTTATTATACAAGATGTCCAACGAGAAATGAATATCTAATCAACGTCGAATTGACGTTAATTTAATGTTGGGCACTAAGGGATCCGTCATATATTTATAGCTTAGGTCAATGTGAACCAAAAAGTCCTCTACTATTCTGCAAATCGTCACTCAACATTACAAGTTATTAATTATTGAAAATGGTTATGTATAGAAGTTTCTTTAATTAATAATTCAAAAATTGGTGTAATTATTTACAAAATAGTTGAGAGCTTCTTTGTTCACATTGACCTAAATTACAAGTATGTGACGGATATTCTATTTAGCGACAGACATTTTGTATATTTCTATCTTATCTATGTTATCTTTGAAATTATATATTTTTTATTCTGTGGGAAGGGATATTCTTCTTTCCTGTTCGATCATTTTAAACAAAGAAGAAGAACAAGGAATAATCAGTTACTAGTAGATTGAACTGTAATCTGAGAAATGATAATTTGTAGCAAAGTTCATGTGTGTCGGTTGAAAGGCCGGTAAAGTCAAGTATGTCGATTCATAAAACAACCTAGCTGTAATCTTTCTGGAAACTTGGACCTCATGGAGGACTCAAGATCACATATTGTTCATACTTACTCCAGGTCAGAGTCTATAGCCTGAATTATAACGATGTAACAATGAACCGTTCGACAATGCCTCTTGAAAAAGACACTTGAGCACTTACCGGGTGTAAATTTAACTCCGAACCAGACGGACATTGGCATACAGCCGTGATGAATGACGTGGAGAGTAGTAATGTGATCGTTCTTCTTCCTGAGCACGAAGAAAATCGTGTCCGATAATTCGATGAATTTGGAGATGTAGTACCACCAACAACCGTTCATCATACGCAACGCGAGTGGGTTATCCGAGTAATCAACCGGCTGACATCTGAAGGAGTAATGTCCTCCCCAGCCAGAAACCACACTCTATAATGGGGGAAGAATGATATCGTTAATATCTCCGTGAGTTTCTCTCGAATCAGTCGTTTTCTTCGCATCTGCCGAGTGACTTACCTCGTGGAACAGCCACGAAGAGAAAATCACCTGGAAGAGATTATACCATATCATCACTCTTCTGAGATCAAAGGGTTTCCGGTTCTCCATCAGCTTCGGCCCCAGGACCTTGACGAAATAGGCGTAAAACAGACAAATCGTTAGCGTGGGAAACGGACTGCTCATCAGGAACCAGTTGTTGACTCTCGGGTCGCTTTTGTTGTCCATCAGGTCCCGGTAGCCATCGTAAATTATTCGCACTAATTGCGCCATCTGAGAACAAAGTAGCGTTTTTGTCTCTTTATTGTGTCGTTTTAATTCTCCTGTCAAGAAGTACTTCAACTCCATCGGGACAATTATATCTGTGATAGTTATATCTGATCTTGTCCGATTATAACTGACACTTACGGTTTGCGGGTAGAAAGGAGAAATAGTCGTTATAGTCCGACGCTATTGATATTATTACGTAGTATTCTATGGCCATTTATTATAGATTTCGTTCCGTACAAATGACTATGTTTATTGCTTGAGTAACGCGGCTGCGGTGTATGGTTTAAGGCATATGTGTAACGATGGTTGCAAAACTAGGAACTAGGTCGATGTTGATGATCCGTTATAATATATTATCGCGTCGGACCCGTCAAGGAGGGTCTTGTCGGAGGGGAAGATGCCTATTATGTCGCGGGATTACTTATGAATCGAATGTTGATTAACAGAGGATTCCGATGGGCCCGATTCACCCCTTCTCCTGTCTACCGACGTCGTGGAGAGTTCTCTTGCTAACCCGAGAATCAGATGGGACTTTTTCTCTTGGATAATGGAGAAAACGTTCTATCTCGGAACAGCCACCTGGTGCGTGGCAATGCGAAAGAAATAATTGCCGCGAGCCCCGGCGAATCCCCGACCGTCGATCGCGAGGCACGCGACTCCATTTCGATCTGCCGGCGCGGCGAGGATCCACGGATCACCGTGACTCTCCCCAATGACAAAAGGTTAGGGTCCTTTCACCGATCGAAGCAGGTCGGGACCGCTCCACGACGATGTATCAAACGTTTTTCCACCAACGTCTCTCTCGCATCGCGCGCGGAAACGCGCCAACATTGCCCGCCGTGCTCAATCCATCATTCAATCTTCACTCGCGCGGTTCACCACGTGCCACTGGGCGACAAGCCGTTTTCTGCGGCCTTGGCTTACGTGAATAACATAATAAGGTTGAAGACGATGTCGTATTTTGTGTAAACTTTTGTAATTCATCGCGGTGCTCGCGAAGATAGATTGTGGGCTACGTGACTGTCCTATTCCCCTGCGATCAAGGAAAAATTTTTTGTGATACGGTAGAAATTTTAAAACAGTTAGTGTCACGTCCACGTGCATGTTTTTTGTCAAGAAAGGTAAAGAAGAGATAAGAAGAGAGAGAGAGAGAGAGAGAGAGAGAGAGAGAGAGAGAGAGAGAGAAAGAGAGAGAAAAGTCTTCGTAGAATTCGCAAAAGTTATCGAATTTAGCGATTTCTTATTTTCTTCTTATTGGCCCATTCAAATATTTATTTTGCCAAACTTTTCAGATATATAATTAATTAGGCATAAAAAAGTTAATAAGAACTCTGACGCAAGATGTAAACAGCGAAACTCCATTTTTGGGTAATTCTTGGACTGGTTTTCATAGTCGGATCTTATATTTAAAACCATCTTAAGTTCACCTTCAGATGCTTTACGATTCATTTTATTTGGTTACAAGGCATTTTCATCATTTTATTGACTACAAAAAAAATAAACTTGAGACGGTCTTAAGTATATCCAATATGAATATAATGGTACAATATGAATACATAATGGCATAAATACCGGCCTAAGAATTACCCAAAAATGTAATTTTGCAATTTACATCTTGTCAAGGCTTTTATTTGTTTTTTACATTACGACCGGCCTTAAAGGAGTCCGATATGATATTCAAATTCCTATGTTCTTTATAAAGTAAGTAACTTTCAAAATTTATATCTTGCGTCGACTTTTATTAGGTTTTCCTGTTTCCAGCTGATTGAACATTAATCTTACAACAATGTTTTGGAATAATTAATTTCCTTGAAAACAGCCTCACTTCATCAGTATTATATAATATTCTGTGAAAATTGCGATCTTCGACACGTGTCGATAAGTTAATATTTGAGTCTCGTCGGTCTGTCATTTAGTTCGGTAAATACGGATGTTCGTACAGTAGCATGTAATATTGTAATAAGTATTGATAGCCCCTGAAACAAGCATTGACTAAGTACACGTATTTTACACATACAAGTATGCACTTAACATAATATCCACTATACGATGTTCTATAAGTGTGTATCCTTAGCTACTGAGATTCTCCGGAATGCTTAAAATGCATTTTTTCTTAGCAGGTGTGCTGAGGCACGAATAGAACGTTTCAATAATCAACGGTCAAAGATTCGCAATTTATGCTTCGAGGAGAAATGAATATTGTAAAATCATGTTTTTCAATTAACTTCAAATGGATTTTAATTTCTGAACTCACGTATGAAGGCTTGTGTCAAAGATTAAAAAGCAGCAATGAATGCGCTGATTCTCTTCAATAACATTTTCGTCAACGAGAGATTAATTTTGAAGAGTCCGTCGAAACGCAATACGGATGGATACGCACGGAAAAAAGTGCTGCATTTAAATAAATAATTATTTCGATACTCCTTAGCAAATTTTTAGTTCTGGTCCACAGTCTTGCTGTACGTCGTAAACCATAAAAAATTAACCAGTCACAATCGATTATTTTTCTCACATTCGACTGTGATCGGTCAATTTCTTACGATTTACGATTTAAAGCAAGATTGTGGACCAGAACTTACTCGGATCAAATAATATTTACTTGATCTAAGTAAAATATTTTCCAAGTAAATTATCCAAGTAAAATATAATAATAATAATAATAATAATCATTGCTTTATTTAATTGATCCAAGTAAAAGTTACTTAAAGTAAAAATTTATTCAGAAGTATTGGGATAATTATTCATTCGAATTTAGCATTTTTTTCTGCGTGCACAGTGGCAAACCGTAGGCCAACCTTTCGGCGATCTAACGATTCGCGCCGGATGCAGGAATTCGTGCGGGCATAGTGGTTTCGGAACCGGTCAATCTAGTTCCACCATCGATCCGACCCGTCGCATTTAGGTCTCCCAAAGCTTTGCCTGCCCGTTGTCCATTAAGTACTTCTCCCGTTCTTCCGAGAATTCGGCCGGAAGCTGCGGGTGGCAAAAATAACCGTGAGAAAGATCGGAACAACGTTCGGGATTTCGTGGTTCTGCCCCGACGAAGAGAGACTTCCACGAAATCTAGCGCGTCAAACGAAAAACGCCTGAATGCTCTGTCCGCTCGAGCCCGTGGATTTCGCAATGCACGGCGGAAAGGAAAAGTGGCCTCACTAAAGACTGCGAGCGACTAAGAACTCGTTCTCGCCGCGGAAAAATGCGGTTTCCACTGAGCGATCGTAGCCGTACGATCTTGTCTTGCAATCCCGTTTGCTCCTCCGCTCTGCGTCATGTTCGTAGACGCTAATAGTCCCGTCGTGTCGTTCCAACCGACGCGGTGTTCTCGCGCGACCACTGCGATTAATGTCGCGAACCTGTTTTTTCTCCCTTTCTCTCTCTCTTCTTTCCCTTCTTCACGGATGCGCAACATCCGTCCTGTAGGTGTCGATATTCGATCGGTGTCACGGCCGAGTAAGTTATTTTTATTCATACACATCGACGTTCGATGCACCGAGTGCGGCCATATATTCTTCATTGCTAAAAACGGAAACGATTTTTATTTATATACCCGCGTATGTGCCTATGATTACTTATACTTCGATTCCAGCTTCTGTTCCGTATATACGTTCTATGCCACACACGATGCATTGCCGTCGTACGTGACACCCATTTAGATCGATCGCAGATGCGGATGATCCCTCGCGTCGAGCGCGCACTTCTTGTGTATCGCGAGATTACATAGTCGAGGAAATGTATGAAGTGTGGCGACGGTCTCGGTGCAATCATACATCATAAAACCCGGGATAACCATCGCCTCACGATGCAGAGTGATATTCTTATTTTGCTGCAAATCTTACTTTCTTCGGCAACAGCAACAAATTTTCTTGATTATAGGTTGCACTTACGTTGTATAAGTGATCTATCTCTCGATGATCGTAAGAAGTGGTACCGTTACTACCGTTAGTTCTCTTGCCCGTAAATGTTTTGATTCATAAAGCGCCTGGGAACGGTTTCCTGAGATTGGTGGCCCCAATGTTATAACTAATTCCCCGGGCAATTATGCGAGACCGTTTGTTCAAATAATTTCTGTCTCGTTGTAAGTCGACGACGAAGACGCAATAGAATCTGCAAATACCGCTTCGCGGAACGATCGTAAATCAAGCCGCTGATTGTAAGGCAATAATGGTCGATGCCCATTATTTCCGCAATATCGTCATACAGCCTTGCATCTTTTTTCTACACACGTAATGGACGGGATTTTCTTCCTTATTTATTAGGCGAATTTTTACATTCGTTCGCGCAATCATTCAACTGCAGGGCTCTCGTTATATGTAAATCGGTTTTCTGCGATTTTTAGCTCGAATGACATTGATGATTCACTGATTTTTTTTTACTTCGGTAACTCCGGCTAATATGCAAAAACTATAGTTTGCAGATTTGCAGAATGCAAAGAGTAAGGTTCTGTTCTTCGTCTTGCGTGACGCAATTCGACCCGCTGCACTCTCTCGAGAGGCGGCGACTCGCCCGTCGTCTCTTAAGTGCCATTTGCTTGGCGAGTCAGGTGCATCCTCCCGCATCTGACATATAACGAAAGTAAACTGCGACGAGTTTATCGTTAAGGTATGCGCCCCCGTTAATGTCTCGATTGCATTCGCGCGCGTGCACGTGTCCGTGCGTGCGTACGACGTGTGTTGGTACACGTCCTATCGCAACCTCCTTTTCATCATTTACACGGCGTTTTTCACATTCGACTGAAGGAATTTACCCGACTTCGGGGAACGATGGAAAATACTTCTTTACGTTCCGAGGAATGTCGGAGGAAAATTGTCGGAAAACTATCGGGACGGGGGAACGAGCGATTCTGCCGACGTTTGAGGTTTTCAAGTATCCGATCTTGCCCGAGCCACCGCATTTCTATAACGATGTATTTTTGGTGAATTAACCACGTTACTTTGGGATTCAAAGCTGGGGAACACGAGTCGAAACAATCGATAAACTTGACCACACCTTGACCACAAAAATAACCTTTTACTTGTTGTTCAAGCATTTGCGTTTTAATCGCAGTAAGAATAGTCATTAATAATGTATTATTTGCGTCATGGAAGGAACGGAATGACCATGATCTTATTGGAGACAAATGATTTATATATTATTAATTGATCTTTCTCGCGAGATCAATGTTGACATGAGTTTGTTTAATTGCCAAAAATTAGATTGATGTTTGAGTGATCAGGCGTGTAATTTAATTTAATTCATCTTTCGCAGTGGCGGTAGGAATATTCAATTCCCAATAGCAACAACGACAACTTTCAGCCCATTGAGAGCGCGTAGCAAGTTCGACTCGTAATTTATTCGACGCGTATTTATGTTCAGATATAAAAACAATCAGACTCTTTATGACTTTCTGCGAGGGAACATGTGTGCGCATTTTTAGTCTACTTATACATAATTAGAAAAATCTCGGCTTTTAAACTTTTTCATTTTTGCGAATAAAGCCCAACAAATGCCCAGTCGACACCGAGCATCAGTTAGACAACACATTGTCCAAAATCGGGATATAAGACGCCTTTAAGACATTTTTAAAATATCTTAAAGAGAGTCTGTAAATAAGACATCTTACGTCTTATGGGAAGTTGTGAATCCCAGATAGACATATTTCGATATATTGTCTGCACCTGCATCTGTGATTAGTACAAGTGTGTTAAGCGTATTATACGTTCTCACACAACAAGCATTTTATCACTATATAAAAAATCATTTGCCGTGAAAATTGTGGCAATATTGCGGCAATATTCTGATGCCACAAGTATCGTTACCTATTTTGCCCGAAAGAGAACGCAATTAATTCGGAATTATTGTTGTAATAAGAAATCAATAATTTAATTTAAATTATGGCGTAATAAATGAATATTTTTTAAAACAAGCATATTTTAAATATGTGCTATTGCAATGACATCACAAAGCATGTATTAAATGTTTGCATACTATGTTTAGCATTTCTGTCTATCTGGGATAATATGACTTAATTGCTAAAATAATTATGCTGATCACCTTATTAATTATGCAAATGTCAAAATTTTATTATCGTTTGTTATTGATTTTGCCTGTTATCAATTTCATAGCTTTTTGTGTAAAAAAAAACACTTGCTGAAGGACATATATACATAGAATTTTTTGTGTGGATCAAAGCGCATAAATTAAGATATATTTATATTTCATAGAAATATATATTTATCTTAAGTAATTTTTTTTACTTAAAAGACAAATATATATATATATATATATATATATATGTATGTATGTATGTATGCATATGTACATACACACATATACACAGCCGTGTGTGGGATAATTTATGCATTTTAATCTATACAAAAAATTCTTAATGTCATTCATTTCATAAGAAACGTGTTTATAAACGTGGTTAAATAATAATTGTAAAGTTTTAATTTAATATTCTTGATTGAAATATTAAACTTACTAGGGTTCAGAATATCTTTTAAATAAATTTGATGTTTATGATGAACTTATGATATATTACAGACATATAAATTTATAAAGTATTAGAAACAAATAATATTTACTGGGATGCAGTATATATTTTTCTACACTAGATGACGTTTTTAAGAAAGCAAATAGTATATAAGATATTTTATGATTATAGCATTTTTAATCATGAATTATCGCTCATGGCCAGAATAGGAATCATGTCGTTTACCATGCATAGCGTATGCAGTGTACGAGTACGAGTACGAAACGTGTTAAGTATATGATTATTTTTGTGAAAAAGTTGCATATTAATAATTATCATTAAATGAGATAACAGTAATAGCATCATAGAATGTCAAAATGTCTTTATGGCTTTTAATTTGTGATTTGTCGCGAGTTAGCGTATGCGTTTGTACGCAAAGACTGGTTAAAGTAATTATTACGAGGTAAATCATTATTACGAAGTATTGATATATGTATGAACTTCATGATCGTCGCGTCTCTCGGTACGTTTGTCTTACCATCGCGAATTCGGCGTACCGATACTTCAGAACAATTATCTCCGCGTACTTAGTAGCTACCGATGATGACGAACACGATCGTTCGCGTTACCACGTAATCGATGCCATTGTGTCGAAATAACTTATCGATCACCGATCCGTACTCCTTCGTTTAAAAAATACACAAACGTATGAACACTCATAACGATGTCTTGTGAATAAGTGCTAATTGATTATTCAGTTGGTTTTTTGACACATCCAATTAACGGCAACTGCGAAATTAGGAGGCAGGAAATGTTACTAAGTTACACCCTCCCTCAAAAATAATTATACGGGAATGAATGGGCGACTGGTACGTGCGCGAGCGAACATATAAGTATCCCCGATCTCGTTCATGTATCACGATCGGAAATTTTTCTCGCAACAAACGGAGAAAGGTCGTAATCTGATCATAATCTGTCATTATCGCAAGCTGTTATCGTAAGTTATCGCGTTAGATCTCCGTTTACTTACTTCGTATCACTCTCGCCGTAATTCGATCTCTTCCCTTACAAAGCACGATGATGATCGCCGATGTGAGGAGGGTGCTGTGCGCTCCCAGAGGGAGAGAGAGATATTCAGAGTTCGCGCACGGCGAGATACGAGAAATATTGTTGAATATTACGAGCAGTCACGAGGTAGTGTGCTGCAAGTGTACCACCGATAACAAATAAAGACACCTAGGCACGCGAGAACGCGACGGGTAGTGAGCGCTTCCACTGCGTTGGCAAACTGAAGCCGCCACGGTAAACACGGTGCCTTATATCGTCTTGGGCCCGCGACACCTCCGGGCAACTGTGGTATCTTGCGAGCGTGTCGTAGGTTACACGTACCCTATCCCTACACGAGCCCCACGCCGATCACCCTCGTGGAAAAGAGTTCTCGTTCGCTCACGTCAGCGTGATCAAGCGAATCGGCCTCAGATAGTGATTCGGTGTTCGTCCGAATATCACCTGAGGCGGGCCACGAGATGTCCGCGAGGTGGTTTTTTGTAAACCTGCAAATTAATTTAGCAGTTCTTTCTGTAAAAGAGCGAACGCGGCGGTCTTTGCCTGGCTAGCTACCTATCGGCCCTATGTGGCAAGTTTTAGCGTTTGTGTGATATGTTGCTACACCCGCGTCCTTCGGCCGTATGTGTATCCCGGCTCGGGCTATGCTTCAAATTAACAATAGTGGCTGGACAACCGCTGGACGAAGAACGCGGTATCTTTTAACTTGTCCTCGGTGGAAAGAGTCTGGGATCGTTACGAAAGTTAAAAAGTCTCGAGGACGAGATCCGGATGGCCGCGAAGGCGAAAGTACTCGTCGTAGTACATCCGGTTGCTCGGTGAGAATCAAGTCGGATTTTTCGCCGTGCCGCCGGGGAGTTTTCCCGCGTCGATTGAAAAAGCGCAGCCGACCGCAGCGGTGACGGGCGGCCGACTCGGCCCGTTAGCTTTTCGATAACGATAAATGCGTGTAATTCACGCGACAGTGCAAAAATGTACGAACGAGCGTTACTCTTCCGTGCTGTTATTGCGAAATTCGCGCGGCCCGCCTTCGCTCGTCGTTCGCAAATCGGGCGATATTTTAGAGCGGATGTAAAAATGTAACTATCGGGCCAGCGTTTGTTCTCATTTGCTCTATAAACGAGAGAAAGATACGGCGACGGTGCGAATGTGAGTTCTGTGCGCTTTGTGATTCCTAGATTTTCGATAACGACCTTTCTCTGTTGCGAGGAAATTCCGATCGTGATATATGAACGAGATCGAGGATATTTATATGTTTGTTTGCGCAATCTACTAATCGTTAATTCGTTCCCGTATAATTAATTATCTTCGGAGAAGGGTATTTTTAGTCAACACTTCCCGTCTCCTATCTTTGCAGTTACCGTTAATTTGATTTATTTGCAAATTTTGCTAACCGAATGATCCCTATTATCATTTATCCGATATATCGAGAAGATTCCATTTAAGAGTGAAATTTTCCAGCCACATTTTGAAACGCAAATATTGTTAAATTGTAAATATTGTTAAATATTGTAAATATTGTTAAATATTGTAAAAATGCGGATGTGGAATAACTTACTATTCGCATCGAAACATAAGAAAATTGGAAATTAAATAATCAACTGATCAGTATATGTATTGGTCGTCTTTACGCTTGATGATACATTAATATTTTTAATAGCTCCGGTTGAGATGACTTGGAATTCCTACTCAAGTGAGCGACATATTCTCCTTGGCAACTTTATTAATTATCAGTATCGAGTTTTCAAGCCGAGTTGACGTGTTGCGAGTTTGAACGAGATGAGATATTTGAACGAATGAGATATTAAGAGATTCTTTGGGCGTTGTTAATAATAGTCATCATAAATGTTGGGTTTCTTTTTATAAATTAGAGTTTTTATTTCAATCCCGAATGCGAGTGCGAACGAGCGCTATAATATGTACAATTTTTTTAATTATTACGTTAAATATTACTATGTTAAATATTTGATATTTTGACACGTCATGTGATATTACATGGTCGAAAACTAACAGTTAAAAATCCCTCACGGAAGCGACATCCAAAGTCAAGCAGGAAGTCAAACTGACAAAACTGACCTTGACTATTCTTTTGAATAATTCGCTTTACATTATACTGGTACTTAATAATATTCAGACTTTCCGGTATTTTTCATCGTTCTTTTGGTATATGGTTAAATGTTTTATAAAGATGATTATTTAATTCTGATAAATGCTAGTCATGATTTATGCACATAATGTATATTTTTACGATTTACAGCGGCCAATAGAAATTTTCATATTTTTATTCGGTGCGGTAATGTATGAATATTAATATTTAAACTCTGAATTTGATTAGTACAAAACTTATATTTTCTGAAAAAAAGTAACGTGTCTAGCACATATTTTAATATTATTGATTTTTTTTACTGTGATAATTTATTACCTCCGTTGAATTATACAAATGCAAACGCAATTCAGCTTACAACACGTGTATTGCAATTTCTTCTTTCTATAGATTTTACATATTATATAATATCAAATATTGGTAAAATATGTTTCCCTCTTCAACCACGACACTGTTGCTAAAGCTCACTATGCTGTTTTATGATTGTATAAAATGTGTAATAATACAACGCAACTTAAAAATTAGATGGCGTTAAATTTCGTTGTTTCACTCGTTTTTATTAAATTGTCTGTAATGTCCTGTATTCTTCATTTTTAATGTGGCGGTAACTTTTGACCCGTACTTAGCATATCGTTTCTCATTTGTTTAAATCATAAATATTAATTTACTGGACGACACATCACAGGTAGAACAGAAAGTGGTGATTATGTCACTTCGGCGTCAAAATAACTGATTGGGAGGTGACTAAAATCTCACGTTTTTTTTATCATTTCATTATTTTGACATAATTTTAATGTCGTCATTATTTTCTATTTTATCTGGGATTGTCGTTACAGTGTTTCCTCTTAATATTATTTAATCTCGCTCTTTGCTCTTTTTTGAAAATATGGAACAAAGGAATTTACCTTCTCTTCCTTCCTCTGCGTATTTGTTCTCACTTGCCTGTAATTCAGGTGAAGGATTCTTAATCGTCGCTATAAACTGTCCAAGGAATACTGGAATAACGATTACTAACCAAACAGTGGTCATCACGTTGAATAATACGGCGGTCAATCTCGAAAATTTGTAAGGAATTACGTGTACAAAAAAATTGAGAAAGTACCGCCGGTGCTCGAATCCTTGGTCGCACCTGTGGACCAAAGGTCGTGTTTTCGTACTGATTGGAGTGGCGTTGTCGCGTGCACGTGTCCGCGACGCGTAACGATCATAAACGCCCGTATACGATGTCGATAGAAATCGGTATTCAAAATGCGTACTAACCGCTCGCGTCCGCAAGATCGAGACGCAAGCGAGACAAGTGGCATTATCTATTTATATAATTTACTATTATTCGCGATGCGCACAACGAACTTTGGCACTGGGTGGTCCTTATTTGTAAGAAGGCGTACAAGCCTACGATTTGCGTGTCGTGAAATACAAATGAGCACGGTCTTCAGTGCTCCGCGAGTCCCGCTGTTGAGTATTCAAATCGTGCTTGGCGGAAATTCAAGAATGGCGTAAGATCGCACAAAGTGGCAGTAGTCTGTCTGTAACAGTAAGGATAAAAGGATATATGATGTATGAGAGATGATGATGTTAAGACAGTTCGTGCAATAAATTCGACGGACCGAAAAAGTTTTACACAGCCAATATGAATTTAATGATAAGAGAAGTTCGTATTAAAGCTTAAAGAGTTACATCCTTGAATATTATGCGATTCGGAGAATCGGTTACGAAATATAAAAATTAGTGTGTGTGTGTGCACTGTAACATTTTACAGTGCAACAAATTGAAACGCGTTACGTATTATTAATGCGTGCGTTTTATTCGGTGCACCACAACGTCTAAGTTATAAAAATGATTTGCAAATACGAACATTTAAAATGTCAGAATTTACGCGCTCGTAATCCGCAAACATGAATCTTCACCGTCTTTGTCCTTAATTACTGAACAAAATAGTATGCCATTTTACAAATTACACGCAGATTTTTTTAGTTATTAATCGAAGAAACCTCTATATACGTGGCCATTTTCAATCATTAATAATTCGAAATTTTGCTTGATTGTTTGCAAAATGATAGAGAACTTTTCTGCTCAGTTTAATCTGTTCTATTTTTATACGAACGATTGGTCAAAAAATCTCGGACACCTTGTAATATCCATTAAATAACATTACTTTTGCTTCAGAAGGATAACATTGCGCGTAATATTGAACATTGCGTTACTGCCTTAGTTTTTGTAATTGGATTGTAATTTCAATTGATTAGAATGATATGAATATTATAAGTTTGTTAGACAAGTAATCTTCATACATGACGTTGTGTCTGTGTATATGAATAATATTGTTTTCGCCTCAGAAGGATAATATTGCGCATATTGATTATAATGTATGAATATTATAAGTTTGTTGAAATCTTCATATAAGACGTCGTGTCTGCTCATATAAACCAATTATTAACGGATTTCTATTGTTTATATCCTTCTCTCGTTACTTCGATAGATTCATGACTTATATATAATAGCAGAATAGATCTGATAATGTGCGAACATTTATCGCGTTTAGTGTACGCTCGTAAATTATTTAGAATCGCGAGAGGAATCCCGATAAATACGCGCGCATAAAATCTTAAAGGTAAGGAACGAATACTCTTATGTAAAGCAATTTTTATTGACATTCGTAACTGACGTAATAGATGGTACTGATGAAATTATTTACCATTCTATAATTCCCATTCTATAATAAGAAATCTATACTCCGTTCTATAATAGTTTGATACAATATTTGACATTCTACAATAAAACTTGATGTCCTACAGTATTTGATTTGACTATTAAGGAAGTTGTAAAACACAGTGTCGTATTTTCAGTGATACATTAAGAGAGTTATTGTGTCGTATTTTCAGTGATACATTAAGAAAGTTATTCATAAATTTAATATCAAGTAAAATTGCATTTCTCTATACATTTATTTCACCACTGAATAATAAATATTAATTTGAAACTGAATTGAGATAAATATATTTATACAAAATATTACAAATATAAAAATATTATTATTTATTTATTTTATTAATACTATATTTAAACATCAAATCATCTAACAGAGACACATAAAAAGT